GAAATTCTGGGACAATGCGAACAAAGCAGAGAGGAATTCAGAATTGCCGACCACTCATTCGAACATGCGAGAAACAGGTTGAGAATCATGGCCGACCGAGCTTGTAGAGACATTATCGCCAAAGAGGAAGAAGAAATTGCCAAGATTAAAAACAAATCCTGCTTACTAAGAGAAAAATTAAAACAAATTACAGAGCAGCGAGACAAGAAGTTTGTGGAAATTCAGAAAAGCAACCATGACCACATCAATCGAGCTGAGCAAATCGTAGCGACTGTCAACGACCTGATGCGGCAAGCCGACGACTTTGAGCTTTTAGATCTCAAACCTAAGGTGATGCACAACTTACAGTTCCAAGAGAAACTCCAGTTGAATCGAGCACAGCTTGACCTTTCGTTCATCGGCGTCAAATATCAAGATGTCGTGAGGGATTTAGATCTCGGGGAAATAATGCAAGAAGAGAAATGGCAACTGAAGGTGGAGTTTGGTGAAGGACGGGGAGATAGAGCATTGAACTGTGCTACAGACGTTGCTTTTATGACCAATGGCGATGTTACTGTAACAGACACAGACAAGAAGCAAGTAATGATTTTCACTTCATCTGGGAAGTATAAAGGAACCCTAGGTCGCGACAAATTAGAAGACCCATGGGGGACTGCTGTGACCTGTGATAACCTGCTGCTGGTAACTGATGGAAAACACGTGAAAATGTTCGATTCCGATCTTGAATTCGTTCGCCAGCTCTCGCCAGTACCGAAGGATGCGCAAGATTATGCAGACATCGACGTCTGTGGTATCGCGGTGGACAAACAGAATCGCATTGCTGTGGCAGACCGTGGCAGAAAGTTGATATCTCTCCACAACCTTGATGGGTCCTTGATTACGACCATCGCACATGGCATGGTTGCTTGGGGTTTGGCGGTCGGCGTTCAGGAATGCGTGATCTTCGCCAACTACCACCAAAATAAATTGATTTGCGTCACGTATCAAGGAACTGAAAAGTTCAGTGTCAGCACCTCATTCAATGGAAAACCTGTGTGGCCTTACGGTGTGTGCTGCAGTGAAACCGGTGACATCTACGTTACTGTAGATACCGCCTTGGAAGGCGGAATCGGTAAAGTCCTTCAGTATACACCCGAAGGCATCTTTGTTGGGCAGGTGGCTGATGGACTCTTCAACCCCTATGGATTGTCTTTTGCTCCAAATAGAGACCTTGCGGCGGCCGACCAGGTCTCTCTCAAGATCTACCAGCGGGTGTGAGTAAGAATCATAAAGGTGTAAATTCCCGAGGGATAGGCGCATATATCCCTGTTTTATCAAAGCTGGGTTTTTTAATCACCCCCACCTTTTTCATATTGGGAAAAAAAGGTAGATTTGTAAAGAATTTTTTGGACTTCCCAGCAAAACGCATGTAGTCAATTGCACCCCAAAATGGAGGACAAGCACAAAACCTGCAAATAAGCCGTTCTGATGAATGGTTCTGCACGAATGTAATGCACATCAGAGATGTACGTCTGCGTCATGAACATTGCCTCCCCTCTTTTTTCAAATTTCCATTGCTGGGTAAGTCATCCCTCATACAGATCTCCATCCCTCATCTTCCGGCACAAATTCACGGCACTAGCCAGAATTTACCTGTTACCTGTGATACGTCACCACAATGAGTTTAAGTGGGATGAGTGTAGTTCACATTTTACACTATAAAACCTGCACTGAAACCTCGTTCAGTTCAGAAGTAGCATACCAAACGGTCCAGGTTCGCAGCGGTGTGCATCTGCATTCTGTATGCAGAACTTTGATTCCAAAAACTAGTGTGCTTTTGATCTCTTTCCTCAACTAGATGTCAGCCATAGGCACAACAGGAAAATAAAGTAACTGAATCCTTCCAACAACAAAAAAACAGCCGACGTCATAATGAGACTACTTTAAAGCTTTTAAACTAACTCATTTTTCTTAGAACTCTTTCAACTGTTACCACCTTCCCTGGCAAATGAAATACCGACGCCATTGGACTTGTGTACGACTGGTTTGAGTGTTAACGGAGCAGCACTGTGTCAGTTCCCGTCATTTTCTGTCTCATTTAAAGTGCTTTTCTCGCGGGATGACCTACAGTACACGGAGGAATCATTTCAGGTTTAGTGCTTAGAAGCGATATTTCATTTGCATTTTAACCTCTGCGATACTTTATGACGATAATACTGACTGATTTGCTTTATCATGATATTATAGTAACTTTCCTTTGTCTGAATCCTGTGGAATCAGTGACTGGATGAAAGTAAACTTGTAATCCCTTATCTAGCTTCCATCACATTGCACCTTGTAATGGCTGCGAGAGAGGAAGAACTTTAAGAGACATCAAGTTTTGGTAATTTGATATGTAATAGTCAAGTGAAATGAGTTCAATACTCTCGATTATTTGATACATGATTATTTGTGTTGGAAAATTACAAAAATCACTATTCACACGGTGTTTCACGAATGATCATAAATTATAGGCTAAATTATCTGATTGCCACTGAGAATCCACCATCATTCCTATTGATACTTCCTGAATTTTCTTATTTGATGTTTTGATTAATGGCTTCAGACAAAATTACGGAAATGTGTTTCAAGGACAAGGTTATACTAAGTAGAACATAACGAATTTACCACGAATGATGCACGTGCGGTAGAGTAGTCTCACTAGTGATATGAGTTTGTATATTCACGCTAAATAAATAACTATATTTGTATCTATAAAATCCATTGCTCGGTCCACACGCCAAGATGTTTGATAAGTTTTGAATTATATTCCAGGCTACATGGACAAATACCGCTTTGACACGTCAGATTTCCTTTTATGCACAAAATAATAACATTCCCATGTTCATATTAATTTGCAATCCTCAGCTGATTCTTCTGAAAGCAGATTTAAATTGCATCTTACAATACCGTAAGTCTATTAAATAGAACGTTTAAAGGTTGTTGGCGTTTTCCCTATTATGTTAAACACTTTGAATTCATGTTAAGTTTGTCACATTTTGTATTCATCAGCATACTTTAGGACGAGATTCTTTTCATGATTTGCCATTCGTGCCGGCCAATTATAGTTGTGTTGCAATTTTTGGATATTTCAAAAACAGATTTGCGCCGATCCCAAGATACTGGATTGTCTGCACAGCTTTTGCCTGAACTGCCTAGAGAAGCTCATCGGCAGACACCAAGCCAAGTTAGATCACATCACTTGCCCAGTTTGCAGACAGGAAACTGCAGTACCAGACACCGGATTACAAGGTCTACCCACCTGCTTTATCCTGAGTTCCCTCATTGATGAAATCAACAAACAGGAACGACTTCTTGGGGAGGCGTCTGGACATCGTCTAACTTGTGAGGGATGTGATGAGGGTCTAGAAGCCGTCGCTCGGTGTGTAGACTGCAAAAACGTCATGTGCATAAGATGTCAAAAAGTCCATGAACGCACGAAATCCATGAAAAACCACAGGATCGTCAGACATGAGGGACAAACGTGCCCAGAGATTGCTCCAGCAGACCGTCAAAAACATAATGCTCCGACATGTACCAAACACAAGAACCAGGAACTGTGCTTTTACTGTGAAACCTGCCAGACGTTGGCTTGTGGAAAATGCGCTGCATTAGACCACCGAACAGCAGAGCATGAATACAGGGATGTTGCTGATGCAATTCGGTCTTTTCGTGAAGATGTTGATAAAATTCTGCAACGGTTTGAACACATCAGAATGGAATTCAAAGTCGCGGACGATTCATTCCAACATGCAAGAAGCAGGTTGAGAATCATGGCCGACCGAGCTTGTAGAGACATTACCGCCAAAGAGGAAGAAGAAATTGCTAAAATCCAAAACGAATCCTGCCTACTAAGAGAAAAGGTAAAACAAATTACAGAGCAACGAGACAAGAAGTTTGAGGAAGATCAGAAAAGCAAGCGTGACCAGATCAATCAAGCGGAACGAATCGTAGCGATAGTCGACGACCTCATGCAGCAAGTCGACGACTTCCAGCTTTTAGATCTCAAACCCAAGGTGATGCACAACTTACAATTCAATGGGGAACTCCGACCGGAACAAGCTCAGCATGACCTTTCATTCATCAGCGTCAAAAGTCACGATGTCGTAAGAGATTGGGATCTTTGTGAAATATTGCAAGTGGAGAAATGGCAATTGAAGGCAGAGTTCAGTGGAGGAGAATGGGGAGATGTAGAAATTCAATTTGCTGAAGATGTTGCTGTTCTGAGCAATGGCGACATTACTGTATTGGATACAGAAAAGAAACAAATAATAATTTTTGCTTCCACTGTGAACTGTGAAACAACTTTTGGTGACAATGAATTGGAAAAACCCCAGAGCATTGCTGTGACCTCCAATGACATGCTTCTGGTGTGTGATGAAAAACACGTGAAAGTGTTTGACTCAAATCTGGAATTCGTTCGGCAGTTCTCTCCGGCACACGAAGATGCGGAAGGTTATGCTGAGAGCGACCTTGGCGGTATCGCTGTGGACAAGGACAATTTCATTGCTGTGGCAGACTGTGGCAGAAAGTTGATATCTCTCCACAACCTGGATGGGTCCTTGATTTCAATCATCGAGCATCACATGGTTGATCGGAGTTTGGCGGTAGGCGTTCCAGAACGGCTTATCTTCACGAACTATGACGAAAATACATTGATTTGCACGACCTACGCAGGAAAAGAAATATTCAATATCATCACCTTATTTGACGGGAATCCTGTGCAGCCTTCAGGCGTGTGCTGTGATGAAGCTGGTGATATCTACGTAACTGTTGATACCATGGAGACTAGAGTCGGTAAAGTCCTTCATTACACAGCTGATGGCGTTTTCGTTGAGGAGGTGGCCGACGGGCTAAGTCACTTCCTGGGCGGTTTGACATTTTCTCCAAATGGAGATCTAGTGGTTGGGGATATAGACACTGTCAAGATTTACCAGCGGGTGTGATCCCGATCAAGTTTGATAATTGAGTGGTCATCTTTTATAATTGACCACGCCAATCTGAAATGTGGATGAGTATATAGAGAGGTTTCACGGTTGTGTCTTTTCAACGATTACTAATTCAGAGGTATATAGTAATCATAAGTAGGATGAACAAAAAATCAAAATTTAAAACCTGCACTGAAACTTTGTTCAATTATTTTAGAGATAATATTGCAAATGTAATGATCCAGATAGCATTAAATGATATTTCGAATGACCTTTATACCGACAATCATGTGCTTTTGGACCGTGTTTCTCATCCGCGTAGGCAGTAACTGGCCTAGCAGGAAAACATAATTGAACATTTCGAGGCATATGCCTGTCCAGTTGTCAAAATTAGACTCATTATGAAGTACTGCTGTTGAAGAAGATTGGCTCTTTTGTGCAGCTTTTCATTCAATAAGCCATAACCTCGTCTTTTGATGGTTGAGACTCCTCTGGGTTTCACACGATCGATTTCTAACCTACCAGAATTACACTAGGCAAGTTTTAGTTACTTTCTGTCTGACATCAAAATGCATATGATAATGCGGGGGTTCTCTAGAGCATTTCGATGATCTTTCTTTTGGTTACTCGGTAGAGGCTTCAAATTTATACGAAGTTCAAAGATGTTGTGCGTGATAATAATATTGGTCTATTAGGAAATAGTTTTGTTTCTGTACAGCACTGTCAAAGGTGGTCACATGAGAATTGGTGACTAGATATCTTGGTGTAATCACATGATCTTGAGTATGTGAGAGGAAGAGCTAAAAATACATTATGTTTCGGCATTTTTATTATAACAAGCAGGCTAACGAGTTAGAGCCCTCACGTGTTGTGATACACGATAAATTAGGTAAATGTAGATACAATCAGGTTTTCAATAGGATGCAAAAAGGTTAGTTCGAATTACAAACGAATAACAAAATACCTCATTTAGTAAACCGATCTCAAGGGAGAAGCCATGCTTAGGTATTATCCATCTCCACGACAAACCATTCTTCGGTTATATAAAATCTCCTGCCTGGCTCTATGCCAATATTTCCAATGTATTGAAAACATCGGGGAATTCAACCCCATTGACATTTGACTCTTACTTTTATGTACAATGTCAGATATTCAGAAGCAGACTTTGGGAATAACTCGCTATCTTAACATCAATCAACCTTTAATGTGAAATAAAATTTGTTTCTTACGATGTGTAAAACATTCTCTCAGAAATAAGGAGGAGTAATCCCCATACAATGTACATATTTCATACTGTATCTTTTATATTGTACGCGGTATTTTGTTAGTACATGTAGTTAGCATTAAATTTCTTCGTTGGTTTGTCCCATTGGACCATTGCTGGCATACACTTGTATTCACGGGGTATGGGCTTTCTTTGTTTCACTGTACCAGTTGCGCTAAATAGATGTTAGTATCAATTACTTTTTATCACCCGAGAGAGGAAATAGGTGTTTCGAAGTAAACTGTCTGTCACAGCCATAAAGAACGTTCAGGGTTTATTTTAAGTAGCAAAATTTTCAAATCATTTCCAGTAGATGTTGACGAAGTGGTGGTTCTTAAGTGCCACGTGACCTCTAGCGAAATCTCTTCGTCAAAAATTCAAGCTGGGAAAATATTTGTATCGCTGTCGGTTTTTAGGAGGGAGGGGGCTGAAACACGCCTACAAACAGGACAAATGAATATTATTTGGGGGCTTTCCATAACCGTGTGCGATAAAAAAGAAACCGCAAAATGGTTTTTGCGTCGTTTAGAGACATGACCGAAAACGTGGATAATATACGCTCTGTCGATACACAATTAAATTGGGCAGGAAAATTACAAAGATCACAACTCACGCAGTGTTTCTCAAATTATAAATCGCAGACACAATTATATGGTTCCTACCGAGAAATCCACTATACATGTACATATATTTCTTATTGATATTTCCTTAATTTTCTGCTGTTGATGTTTTCTTAATGGCTTTAGACCAAATCAGAGAAATGTTGTTCGAAGTACAATACAACAAATTACCATGTCAATGATGCACGCCTGGTAAAACTAATCTTACAAGTGATAACATGAGCCTGTATATTAAAGCTAAATGAATAAGTATAGTATTTCCTCCGTATCGTTAATGTATTGTTTGGTTCATGTGCCAACATGTCTGTGATCAATTGTAATTTGTGCTCTTCATGTATATAACACCGCCTAGACATGTCACATTTCCTTTTGTACACAAAATAACGTTAACGAAAAATTGTTTAAACTAATTTACTAATCCCAGTCAGTGGATTCTTCTGAAATCAAATTTCAATTGCAGCTTACAATACGAGTCTTCAAAACTACACGTTTATACTCAAAGGCCCTGCAAGTAAGGGTTTTTTCATATGCTCGTTAAGTTAAACTCGGGACTTGGTTTGATGTCAACATTACTTTGATTTCTTTGAATTCTTTTTTTCCCATTTTGTGTTCATTAGCGTACTTTGGCACAATATTCTTTGTACGTTTTGCCACCCGTGGCGGTCCGATATGGTTATGTTGCAATTTTTTGATAGATTTTGATCACCAGAGAGAGAGACAACGAATGATTCAAATGCCAAAGTGTGAAGGAAGTAGGCACCATGCAGGCCTATATCAAAAAAACCTATTTCTCATGTCTTTGATTTGTTGGCAGTATAAACCAGGACTGAATTCACTCGTGTAGAAGTAAACATAATGATAGGTGTGCTCCAGTGGCATGCAACATCTGTTGAATACCAGTATGGAGTTGGCATATTAAGGGACGGACTGTGTACTGGTTGGGAAAATAATAGAAAGTTCTTTCAGAATTATTTGTCCCTGCTCTGTAGCTGAAGCTTTTGTTTGGCATTCATGCAAACATGACCCCAAAAAATGACTACACATTACTTTGTGTCCGTGATCTCCATGGACTCCTCCATAACGGCACAGAATGAAGACATAATGACGTTTTTTTCTCTCAGAAGAAGTAAATCTGCGCGATCAAATGTCAGTTCTCTCTTCAATGTAAATATTTTCGAATAATCAGATATTCAACTTTAATTGGCATGGTTCATGATTTCTCTCCCCTTTATAGGTGTTCTTAGCGTAATAATTAGAAAGTAAGTTGCGGCATATGAACTGCTGTGTTGTCTTTTTATGACTTTTGTTGTACAGTGTGTGTTATATTCATGAAGTTTTCAATGGAATAAAACTTAAACGTTGGATTCGACTGGGGGGTGAACATTTCTGTTGAATGCAACAGTTGATTAGTAATGTAAGTGCCCATTTTCAATCAGATGATTATTGATTAAATAAATGATTTTTAGCTTAATCTTTCATGCAATGTGAATATTCAAAGTAATTTTGTGAGACGGTTGAAAGAGAATGCTAGTGATGAGAGACTTTGGTGTAGATTATTATTTTGGTGGAGGGGTAATTATCTTTGAATTATATTTTGTGATCGCTTTCTTTCATCATTGGACCCTTCTCTGGTTAAGTTCAGATTGAAGGCACGTTCGTCCAGAGATCTGATTGTATCGATTTTGAATTAATTTCACTTTGTTAATTGTTTATTGGTGTTTAGCATTATGATTAAATCATGCTTAAACAACTCATTGTTTATCGGCCTTTGGAGATTTTTTGCATGTTAGACAGCAAGCGAAACATTTGCCCAGTTTGCTTTCAGATGTCTTATGTACACTGAGTGAAGTAGGGTTGATTTAGTAGATAGTAGTTTACAGACCTCAGGATAAGTTGGCAGGAACTCGGTGTTCCACACAACACACTTGACCCTATGTTTGTTTACACCCTCTGCATGCAAGTATATGCCGTAATGACTGGATTATATACGCTGGATTCGAGATCGATTCCGACGCAGGGGACAATATCGTTCCCACGCGTCAGGCAGGCGATGCATTTTTTTTAATGGGCCTTGAACCATGGACCTTATATCTTTGAAGTTTTAAGCTGAAAAAATCGAGCCATTTCCGGGTATGAGTAAGAGTAGGTGTTAAGTGAACGCCAACGGGCCGAATAACAATTTATGAGACTTGCCGCAAAAGGAAAACTATCATGGGGAATTTTAGTGCTAATACGGTGAAGATATTCCTAGCTCGTTTAAAATCAGTGCCGAATCCAGGTAAAAATTGACTTCCTGAAATTGAAATGAACATCTGTTTCAAAGCTGTATGTAGAGCTTACAGGTTTATGAACAGTCCCGATACATGAAACATCGTAGGGGTGGTAATCGATAGCATATCAAATAAATAGCTTCAGCCAAGAAGATCACAAAAGCAGCCAGGTGGTGGCTCAAATCCACTTATCACAGACACGGGCGTTTTGGCCGTGTTTGAAACGGCTTCTAGAGCTACGTCGTCGTCTATCGTTGGCGCGTCTCTGCGTGTTTGTAATTTAAAAAAATTAAACCTCCATTTTCTCAGTTTTGAGGATATCCCAAAGAATATTATACAAATGACTCATGCAATAATCCAGATAGAAGTGCGAGGTATGCTCATTGCAACCTTGGTTGGTTCTAGGCCTACACTGCACAAAATGAATGAACGGGGAGCCTCCCCCCCCCGTCACGCGTTAGAAAACTACTGTCTTGACAGCATCGGTGAAGTTACCATTATTTTGCCGTCAGTTTAGGAATGCGTGTTTCTATTTCGTGTGTGGTGCGAAGAATAACTCACTTCCTCAAAGAAAACTTGAAAACTGGACTCACTAGTTGGACCGACAGTGGAACGACCGGGAACAAGTCTACTGTCACATGTATGTGCTCTAAAAATAGACGCTGGGTTTTTCCGGTTGTGAGAAACCATCCCTGTGCAGTGCTTAGACTTACCACAAAATGTCAACACGTTCTCCAATTAACGTTACAAGCTACAATCCCGGCATACTACATTTGTACTTTGACTCAGCCAAAATTCAGTTCTACTGTTGAGGTGAGTTTTTATTTGGACGAAATCACAATTCGTTGAATTCGATTCGCGGCGACGGAACTTTGGCCCACTATACATTCTATTATGCGATCTGCGACGTGGACACATGTAGGAAATGAATTTTGTTATTTTTGACTCCCACGAAAACCGTCACTGACATGACCTTTGTTGCTGTCACACATACTGCCAAACTTGGTCCGTT